CTGAAATAAAGTTACATGTGGATATATACACAGAATACTGAGTTTTGACTAAAACAGTTTTAGTGTAACTAATGATCTTTTAAATAGCTTCATTTTATATATTATATAGTTTTTAAAGCTTTATATAAAATTATAGAGACTTGAACATTGGTATAATGGACAGAAACATGAAGATAAATTTTTTTGGTTCAGTGATAACCACTGTTTTTTCATATCTGAGGTTAAATTTGGATTTAACAAAAATAATTCATTTGGTAGTCAAGTTGATATTCTGACTACATAGTCATAGTTGATATTCTGATATTTCTGACTACAAAGAGAGACTTCCTTTTATGCTAATAAATGAGACTAATACATTAGACTGAACAACATCATGACTTCAAAAATCTTTTGTTAAAGTTATCAATAGCAAGAGTTTTACATAATAAACAAATAATATCTGTACAAACAATATGGAAAACAATTTGGCAGTATTTAATAAACTTAAGGATGTTAATGTGCTACAACTCAGTAATTAACGCACTAAAGTATAAACATGGATGCTAGTCAACAATGTTGGACATAAATAGACAAAAAAGAAAATCACAGGATACCATACATAAAAAATCTGAAACCTGCAAAAGCAAATATTGCTAAGGGAGAACATACACTTATAGAAAATCAACAACTAAATGCACAGTAATGATACAGATCAATACTGGATAGTGGTTCCTCTGGTGGGAGGAGGGAAGACAGGTGAATATAGAAGGACGCAGACTGGCTTCAACAGTACTTGGCTAGGTAGGTACACAGTTTCATCTTGTTACACTTTACATCTTATTACATGTCTTAAATATCCCAGGATAAATCAAAGATGTTTTTCTGCTAGGTGAAAAAGTCCTGTTGATGCTGCCAGAGTTAATGTAATCTTGAAGATTATATGAGATGGATATATGACAAAAATATTTTGGTGTTACATTGCTTCTTCCAAGAGTTACTGCTTCAATTTTGAAAAGAAAAAAAAAATTCTCTCGTTGGACAAACACTAAACACTGTTCATTTTCTCATTCTAAGTATTGAGTTTCCACTACATGCCTGATAAAACAGTAAAAGTATCTGTCCTAAGTGTCCTCATGTAGCTTAAAACCTAGTGGAAGTAGCAAGCAATAAACATATAAGCCCAGGATTAACATCACTTTACACCTGATCACTCCTTCCTTCTTAAAAATATGTCCTTCACTTGGTTCACTGAATTTCACACTAACCTAGTTTTCCTCTTAAATCGCCAGGTGCTGCATCTCAATTTCTTTTGCTAGCTTCTCCTAAATAGGGACACTAAATAGGTCCCTTCTTTTCTCCAAGTATTTTCACTCTCGGTAATCTCACCCATGCTTTAAGTATCTCTACACTGACAACTCCCAAACTTACATCTCCAGTCTGAACTGGGGGAAAAATATATACATATACATATATACATATACATATATATATATATATATATACAGTATATATTACCTAACTCAGCATTCTCCTTGGCTGTCCAACACACATGTAAAACTAAACATGTCCAAAGCCAAACTCAAGCTGTTCCTTCAAAATCTGCTCCTCTGGCCTTTCTCCACAGACTACACTTCATATTCTGTTCCCTATAAATGGCAGTCCCAGGAGCTATGAACACAATACTAACCATTTTCCATCTCAAAGGCTATGGAGTAAATGTTTTAGGTGTCAGGCCAAAAATTTTGCCATCATCCTTGACTCCTCTTTAGCATACAGTGCCTGACAACTTGGCACCACCTCCCCTCACACCCTGACCAAGTCACCTTCGTCGCTCACCCGGTCTCCTCGACTCAGTCCTTGGTACCTGCCCCTCCCTACTCCCACGCTAGCTTCCCCACACACCCTGGTCTGTAGTCAGGAAGAGCTACTTAAAACCCAAATCAGAAAATGTCACTTGTTTGCTCAAAACCTGTGCCATAGCTTCTGATCTTTTCCAGAGTAATGGTTCCCCAGGTCCCATGCCATCTGGCCCGCTCACCTTCTACTAGACTCTCTGAGTTCACTGGCCTTTGTCCTGGGATTTACACCTCACTCCAGTAACCTTTTCCCTTATGTGAGCATAATAAATAGTTTACAGCGGGTAGATGCATAATAAATGTTAGTCTAATTCTTTTTTGAAAATGCCTTGGTTTGTTCTTGTCTCTAAGATACAACACACAGTCATATTATAAAGTCACAAAATAAAGGTATAAGGAAAGGTATTCAGGGCCACTGTAGACTTGTATATACCACACCAAATACACTATATTTTGTTCCCCAAAGAACTAAGAAAGAAACTTATGGCACTACACATCGGCAGGGTTCTCTCTGCCTGGAACGCTCTTCCCCCCAAACAGGCGCATGGCTGGCTCTCTCATCTCGTCCAGGTCTTTCTCAGGCGGTGGCTTTGCAGTGAAGCCCTTCTGATCACCCCGTGCAAAACCGGAGCTCTCACTGCCCTCACACCCTGTCCTCTCCTGGCTGGCTGATGCTTTCCATGATGCACTACTGGCTCACTTTACTCAAATGTAAGATGCACAAGGGCAGCATCTGACACAGAACAGACACAAAGTAAATAATTATTGAACCACAATCCAAAAATGTAAAACTGCAACTGACAAGTCCAGTGAAGTAGTAGGAAGTGCTGGGAGAGCCTGGGTAAAGAGAAAAAAGCTCACCTGAGAAAATCAAACTTGACTTGAGAAGTGAAGGATGAACATGAGTTAGTTAAGTAGGATTCACACAGGCTCAGTGTGAGAGGGGCTAAAAGGCCACTGTAGCTAGACCAGAAAACAGGTGGAAAAGGTGGACAATGAAGTTGGAGTAGGTAGGAAGAGGCAAAAGTTAGAAGAGATTTGTAGACAATATTGGGATAGTTTGTCTTTATCTTCAGAGTGACAGGAAGCCACTGAAGCATTCTAAGCAGAAGAATCATGAAAGCAGATTTACATGTTGAAAGATGACCTTGGTTACTGGGTAGAAAAAGTTTAGAAGGGTCAGGATGGATGTGGACAGATCAGGTAAGAGGGCAATGCAACAATTCAGATGAGTTACCATGGTGTCTTTGATTAGGGTGTTCAGAGTAGAGAGAGAATGGATAAATAAGAGATTTAGGTTAAAACAAAAAATCAACAGGATCAGTGTTAAATTAGATCAGGAAGTGGGGGTCAAGGGAATTTTTAAAGTTCACTTCTAGGAAGTTCACAAAAAATTCCCATTGACTTGAAGCTTATGTCCATAAGCAGTCACTGCTAGACCTTCAGTGTCCAACCCCTTGACACAAATGGCTGTGGAACATCTGCAATGTGGCAAGATGTGCTGTAACTGTACAATATACACTGAATCTCAAAGTCTTAGCACAGAAAAAAGAGAGTAAAAGTCTCAATAATTTTTATACCAATCACAGGTTGAAGTGATAATATTTTGGATGCTGCAGTTAAATACAATTATTAAAATTAATTTTACTTGTTACTTTTTACTTTGTAGAAAATGTAAAGTTATATAAATGGTTCGCATATTTCTACTGGATAGCACTAATCTCATATGAAACATCTAGAAATACAGAAATTGCAGTTTATTCAAAAGGAAAAAAAATATGTCTAAAGAGAAGAGGTGGTGCTAGTGGTAAAGAACCCACCTGCCAATGCAAGAGACATAAAAGATGCGGGTTCGATCCCTGGTTGGGAAGATTCCCTGGAGGAGGGCATGGCAACCCACTCCAGTATCCTTGCCTGGAGAATCCCATAGACAGAGGAGCCTGGTGGGCAACTGTCCATAGGGTTACAAATAGTTACACATGACTAAAGTGCCTGAGCATGCACAAAAGAGATGACTGAACTTCAGGGCAAAACGCTGTACTTTTTATGAAGAATTTAGTTTGCTTTGTTTTGTTCAAAGATGTGAGGAAATGAACACTGCAGTTACTATAATTTAAATACAAAAGCAATTTTTCTGTTTGTGTCTTCTTTATAGACTAGATTGTTCTGCTTTCTCTGTTGCTAAACTAATGGTTTCAGAGTGCCCTCCATGGTATAGGGAGAAAGGGGGGAAAAAAATTGTGGATATAACAAAGACTCAGAGGTCATTTAGGCCCACGCTTTAATTTTGTAAGTGACAAACTTGAGATATTGAGACATTAAGTAACTTGAAAAACACAGGACTGTCTATGCCACCGAAGACACAGATGCTTTCTCTAACAGCTATGTTACTGGACTTGAAAATACTATAACAAATACACTATATTTTGTTCTGAAAGAACTAAAAATATATCTGTCTTAAGATACTGAATATATTAGTATTATCAATGACTTAGTTTGGGGATACAAAGTCATATGTATATTCTTACCCAATAAAAGTAGAAAAAGCATCAATTTTTAGAGTTTGAAAACCAGTTCTAATACTAAGCTATAATCAGGGACAACTGTCATTCTGTTTTCTCATCAGTAAAATAGACACTACCATATTCAGATTGTGACAACGATAGGAAGATACATACACACATAGTGTAATAAATAGCTTACAGTGGGTAGATGCATACTAGTCTCCTCCTTCTTAATAAAACAAAAAATGCCTTCCTTCTCTCTCTTCTCGCCAAAGTATCAACACACAGTCATATTATAAAGTCATAAAATTAAGGTACAAGGGAAAAGATTACTGAAGTGAGTTGTGAAACCCAGAAGCTTACTCCCATTATCCTATTAAAAAGACTCAAAGCCTCAGGTAAATCATCCAACCTTCCTAAGTCTATGCCCCCCTTCAGTAAAGTGATGAACCCAATCAACCAAAATGACTCAGCCTCATCTATGACTCAACAGTGTACAGCTATGAATGCCACGAGTTTCCAAAGCCTGAATAATGTCAAAAGCTTTAAACATTTAAAGATTAATATAAAGTGTAATTTTTCATTTCTAAAACTTCTCAATTTGAGATACTATAATTCACCATTTTGCATATTTTAAAGGGAAGTTCTTAAAACTACTCACATCCGGTTGAATGGCTTTAAATACTGGAACATCCATTAGTGTTATCTGACCCTGAAATAAAAAGTAAAAAATTTTTATAATTTCTTCCTTGGAATGCCATAATATGACATATATTTGAAATTAAAATTATTAGTCTGTACTAAAATACAGAGTACTCAAATCTTTACTAGAAAAAAGTCCCAATTTTATAAGGGCTTTAAAAAATGAAAATTTAGTCCTTACACCATAAAATAAAATTATTTCTATTTGTCTCATGCCTTTTTATATTTTCCTGTGAGATCAGTGAGGTAAAGTTACAAAATAAACAGAAATAATTTTAAAAGTTTGAACACAGTCACACATTGTGTGTGTTAGCTGTTCAGTCGTGTCTGCCTCTTCTCGACCCTAAGGACTGTAGCCCAACAGGCTCCTCTGTCCATGGGATTTCCCAGGCAAGAATACTGGAGTGGGTTGCCATTTCCTTCTCCAGGGGATCTTCCTGACCCAGGGATTGAACACGGGTCTCCTGCATTGCAGGCAGATTCTTTACCACCTGAGCCACCAAGGAAGCCCAAATACATACACTAAATCAAAATAAAAAACAAAAACTGGATCTACTGGTTTATAAAGCAGTGGCGTTGCTGTGACTATTAAATCATATCTGCTCAAACATTAATACAAAATGTGATAATAATACAAGGGTATTCTTCCCCAATTTATAAAGAGTAACTGACTCTACACTAGTGGCAACTCATACTGAAGGTCTTCACGTGATTATGGACCTCTCTCTCCTGTGGCTACAGATATAAAACAAAATCTAGCAATATACTGAAGCTTATTCCTGGAATGTAAGAGTTCAATATCAGGAAATCAGTATATTCTGCTAACAAACTAAAGGAAAAAGATAACATAAATAAATGAACACTTGTCTGTTAAGAATTAAGTTTTTGTAGGTATCCTTCATGACAATGCAATAATGCCTTCAACTTTAAATTTTTTATTTATGAAAAAGTAAAAATACTTCTTTCCTACCTTTGTCAGTAAAGTACATTTAGCTTGAGGAGGAGGTATAGGTAGAGACAAAAGCAATCATCATAAAGGTAAATACTATTACTTACCAAGTTGATAGTGTAACCTACAAAGCTTCTCTAAAATTATCAGTGGATTTTTTTTCACCTTCCCTATTTCATTCCTCTGCTTGCTCCATTGTTGTGCTACCCTCCCCACTGATTCCCACATCCAGTTGTTTTTTTTTTGAACACCTCCTCTGTTGGGCCTACAAATTCTAATTGAATAGTACCAATACGTAAAGTATGTGCAAAAACTGGAAAACAAGCGATGGAAGACTTACCGCATATTCCTCTGGTGTAACCTTAAGGACATCAAATACCACAGCATCAAAACTTTTCTTCAATTCAGAACCTTTGTCACTTAATGATTCAGAACTGCTACTTTTCTGGTAAGTTAAAAAAAAAAAAAAGAAGCCACTGAAAAACTGTCTTGCAGTCAGTATCATGGAAACTAGACTGCCTTTAAAACTGAGGAAGCTAAGAATACTGAGTTAACAAATTCTGTAGAAAAGTTAGTCGGAACAGACTGCTAAGTTGGAAGAGCACTAGGCAAAGGGTTGGGCAATGTAAAGTTTAACCTCAGTTCAGTTCAGTCTCTCAGTCTTGTCCTACTCTTTGCGACCCCATGGACTGCAGCACGCCAGGCCTCCCTGTCCATCACCAACTCCCAGAGCTTGTTCAAACTCATGTCCACTGAGTTGGTGATGCCATCCGACCACCTCATCCGCTGTCATCCCCTTCTCCTCCTGCCTTCAACCTTTCCCAGCATCAGGGTCTTTTCAAATGAGTCAGTTCCTAAATTTAACCTCAACTTTAGATTTTTAGGTTTGCTAGTAAGTCATTTTCCTGTCAGTGTCCTCACCTGACCTCCTATCATTTCCAATAGAAATGAAAGATTTTAACAAGTTCAGTGATTTTCAAATGAGATTTAAAAAAGGGGGGGGGGGGAGAATACACTCCTCTATAATTTTTAAAACTAATGTTTATCAAGAAAAAGATAAATTATTATCCTAATATAAATCACAGGAAAACATTTAAAATTCCATTAACTAAATAACCCGGTCTTATCTGTCAAGTGAACGTCGGTCTGTGACAGTACAATTGACACAAATGTAAGTGTTTTCTGCTTTAAGGTTACTGCTTATCTTGAATTTGCTGTTGCCAGATGGAGAACAAAAGGTGGCTTTGGCTCTGAAAACCTTATTTCTGCTAAATTTCCACTTCATCTGTACTACAGAATAAAGATGCATTTTGCAAATCACTGACTGAAATCAAAGAAAAAGCACTGGAGGAACATTCAGATCATGTTCTGTTAAATGGTGGTAGAATATCAGGCTACAGTCAATGGCACAAAAAATTAACCAAAGTTTCAATTACAGAGGTATAATATATGCAAGTCAACTGAACAGCTATTATACATCAGTTTTGAGCACTTGTCATTATGTTTCATTTTTACTTTTCCCCTCCCTTTCAGTTCAGTTCAGTTCAGTTGCTCAGTCCTGTCAGACTCTTTGCGACCCTTTTCAGTAGCAACTAAACATCAAAATCATTACAAAGGAAGGGATCAGTCATTAATTTTGGAAAATTCTGCACCATCATTACTTCAAATATTTCTTCTGCTCCTTCCTCTTTCTCCTCCTCGGATGTTCCATTATGTGTACACTACACCTTTTGTCACAGGCCCCACCATTCTTGAATATTGAGTTCCGTTTTCCTCATTCTATTTTTCTCATTGCACTTCAGCTTGGGAAGATTCTACTGACATGTCTTCAGGTTCACTGATTCTTTCCTTAAGTGTCTGCTGGTTATCATTCTACTGGTGAGTCAATCAAAGTGATCTTAATTTCTGGTACAACGGTTTTGATTTCCAGCATGTCCTTTTAATTCTTAAGAGTTTTAATATTCCTGCTTATATTACCCATCTATTCTTGCATGATGTCCATTTTTTCCCACTAGCGCTGTTAACATTACTAATCATAGTTATTTAAATTCTCATCCTGTTAATTCCAAAATTTCTTGCCATATCTGGAAGTCTCTTACCGCACTGTTTGCTTTGCCTCTTCAATCTACGTTTTTCTGGTTATCTTTCAGCATGTCTTAGAATTTGTTGAAAGTCAGATGTGACTTAGTGGGTAACAGACACTGAGGTAAGTAGGCCTTTAGTGTAAGAGTTTATGTTTATCTAGATAGGAGTTACGTTGTTTACTATTTGTTGTGGCTAGAGGTGCCTTAACTTTCCTGTAGTGTCCTTGTTTTTCTCTCTGGGTTTCCCTAGAACTCCTTAGATGAGAGTACGTGCCTTGCAGTGCTTTAGGCTGTGATCCTTTATTACCATACAGGAACCCTGTGGATGTGGTGGTAAGGTGTGGGAAGTAGGAAGAGGAGACATGTTCCACCGCCCTACAGTCTGTTACTTCAGTGAGCCTGTGCCCCTGGGCTGTGGCCTCAGGTGATTCTCAGTACCCCAGACTCCCCTTAGAAAGTAAGACAGGAAGGCTAGAGGGCTCGGAATTGGGTATTTCTCTTTCCCCAGGTAGGTTAGGATCTGGTAAAGTCTCCCCTGAGGACAGGTGGAGAAAAGAACATGCTGGGCATATTTCAGGATGATTACTTTCCCCTAGTATATTTCAAAATGGTTACTTCCCCTCCTCCAGCTGGAAGCATGAGGGATTTTTCTATGATCTTCACTGTGAAAACTTGGTGGTGCTCCTGGAGGTAAAATTCACAAAAGTGGGCTGGGAGGCCTAAAACTAAGCCCCCAGGAGATCTTAACCCTCAAGCTAGTCCACGCAGAGCCTCTAGCAGCTTGTCAACAAGAGTACATTTTCCTGCCCGTGCCTGACTCAAGTGACTTCTGCTCTTGGTAAACAGTGATTCTCTGCATTTGCTTCTCTCTCCAGTTCTCAGGGCATCACTGGTCAATGTGCTCTGTGACACCAGTTCTCCAACAGAGCAGGTTTTCAGATTGTTCAGCCTTTTTCAAGCTGTGAGGACAGGAGTCATGAATTCCAAGCTTTTTATGTGTCTGAGCAGAAACTCAAAGTCTCATAAATGGATTTCATATATTTATCTTATTCCACGTGTTTGATCTCTGTAACTATGATTAGCTTACAATATGTCAACAATGTTATTTTATATTCCAAGACTAACAGAAATTTATTCATGTCAATAATTCAAATAGACATCAGTTAAATAGTATATACTAATCCAGTAACTACCAAATAATAAATATACTCATTTTAAATTTAACTTGGAAATTTTCTCCAAGTTTCTAACTCATTCAAAAAAAGTGAGCAGATCATAATGGCAATCTTAATGCTTATCAAAATGAATAATCATTTTCCTCCTTTCCTTCTTACAAACCATTAGCAGGGGGCTTAAAAAATTATGAGTGATGTGCTTCTATCTGCTTCCCCACTGGCAATAAATAGGCTGGTATTGATAAGAAGCTAAGTAGTACTGAGACATAATGTACACTAAGTTCACAGTAGTCATTCTTTATCCACTGAAAGATGGAAAAACTATTGACACTTCTAAACATATGAAAAAAGTTCACCACCCCTCTACTGATACCAGATGCTTTAGCACAGGTTAGGTCTAAAAGGTAAAGATAGAAGGGTAAGGGTACCCATTTCTGAGAAGCTTGAATTCTGATATGCTAATACATCTTTATTTTAAGAGAAGGTAGAAAAATACATATTTTTAATTTTATTTTCTTGACATAGCAGGAAGACAATTTAAAAGGCAGACTTTCTACCCTTACTTCTCATATACTGGATTATACTACTCTGAGGTCTCACGGAATTCATCTACTTTTAGAAAAGCCAACATAATTTTTTATACAAGTGAAATGATCTGTTTTATTTAACAAACAATTCTGTACTGTTTCCTATAATATTATCTCATATATTTCAGGACACAAAGTCAAATATACCATCATATACCAACATATATTTAACAAAGTTAAGAAATATGATTATAAAGATACCAAGTAAATATACATGCAACATGGACATATTTACAAACATATTTAATCCATGCCTCAAGGAGGAATAAAAGCTATATACAAATTTATAGGAAAAATGATTTAAAAAAATTTTTTTAAAGTAATAGCTTCAGAAAGAAGAAAGCTCCTGTTTAAGGAATCAGGAGAAAATGTTCATATAACTGTAGCATTTAAAATAGAAAAAAATAAGGGTTTATACAAACCTTATTTATACAAACCTTACTACATCAGCAAGATGTAGTATTCTTTCATTAGAATAAAAATTTCAAGTAGAGAATCAGTGGTAGTTAAATCCATTAGAAAGAAAATTTAAGGCCATTTTGAGAAAAGTCCTAAATGCAGGGCTGAATGTCATGGGTATTTAGTTAGTAGGTGATGAGGAACCATGGACAGTTCGGAAACACAATAAAGTATAACAACTGTATTTTAAGAATATTAAAATTGAGTTATATGAGTTATTGAGTTATATATATTATATATAAATATATAATTGTGTTTTATATATTTTTATAAAATATAAAAATATTTTTATATTTTATAAAACATTTTTATATTTTTATAAATATAAAATATAGAAAAAATTTAATTTAAATATATAAAATTTTTATATATTTTATATTTTATAAACTTTATATTTTATATTTTATAAACTTTATATTTTATATTTTATAAACTATTTTATATTTTATATAAATTATATATATTACAAACAAAATTATATATAATTATAATGTATATTAGTATATATTATATACTTAAATGTATAATATAATATCAAATATATAATATTTAATTGTATATAATCAAGATATATTAATATATTTATATAATTATAAATAGAATATAATTATATAATATTATACATTAACATATAATATATAATTAAATATATAACATATATGATATTATATATATAATATATATAAGCATATATATTTTTTATATAAGGTTATATAAAATTGAGTTATATAATCAAATGGACCAAAAACAGCAGAGAACAGAAGTGCAAGATCAAAATAAAAAGTCACTACGATAGCCTAGACAAGAAATAATAAATGACCAAACTAAGATGCTACTAGTGGAAATAAGGAGAAGAGGACTGGCTCCCAGAGATAAGGTGTGGTGGCCAGGCTCTAAGCCGGCTGCCAGGCATTCTCCCTCTCTTGGTGGTCACTGGCCTGTGTGACCCTCTCCACTAGAGTGCAGGCAGGACCCAAGATGCTACTGATGGTTACATCACAGAGGATTCCAACTTATGTTCTGCTAGTGGACTCTCCCTGCTGCGATGTGAAAAGAGCTGTGCTGGGCAAAGGGGAAGCAGGTTAGTGCAAAACCTACAGATCTGAACTTAGATGTTAAGGAAATAGTGATGTTACTGATGGAAGTCAGAGATGGGGGGTGGGCCATTTCCTTTACAAGTAGTACAGCAGAAGAGAAACAAGTAAACTGACTTTGTTCATATTATAAGTAAAATGTCTGGTCCATCACAAATGCTTAATAAAATCTGTAACAGAAGCCAGAGCTAGAGTTAAAAACATGGAAATCATCTACATAGGAAAAATAATTGAAACTACTGACAGAGAATATTCTAATGACAGCAAGGCCTACGTAAATTGGCTTGGGCAAAATGAAGTTGAAATTACCAAGGAGCTGTGAAGTCAAGGTGTAAAATCATCAAACATTTTTTCTTATCCTCTACGGTAAGGATAAAATAAAGGGGAGATATACAAGCTAGATGCTGAAAGTATTAAGGAAAGCAGGCAAGTACCCTAGATCTATAGACCTCGCAAAAAAAAAAGGGGGGGTGGCAAAAATAAAATCATAATCCATTAACCAGAGAGATGAGCATCTAGTTCAGTCTTCATCTCCATCTCTAACAGTGTGAGCTACACCACCAGAAGAGTCCTGTCAACATTCCAGCCTAACGGTTCTTCAGTCTCCTTCAACAGGCTTGGAATCAAGGGATCTGACAGTGTCAACATGGTCATTCTTTGCCCCACTTGTTCTACTGCCCTCAAGGTTCATATAATGTGAAAACATCTTAAAAAGAAATCCTATGCATCCTTAACTAAAACTAAAAAAGGGTTTTAAGTAGTCATTATCTGTCAGTTATATTAAGTAGGTAGGGAGTAACTCCTAAAATGTATAATGAACACATGGATGGTACAATTAAAATAGTTTTTAAAAAATCTGAAAAGCCTGTAACCTTTTTCTCAAGCTATGATTTAAAATCCATAACCAACCATAATGCTTTAAAAATTAGAATGCCAGGTAAGAAATTTTACAATAAACTTCTTAAATGTCTTACCTCAGAAGCAGTAGCAGCAATATTAACATTGCTTGCCTGCCCGTTCATTAGGTCCATGCTTCCCACAACATCAGTCCCTGACGCTATTTAATAGCAACAGAAGACTGACTGCTTCACGTCCAAGGCCACAAATACATTATTATTCCTGTAAAAAAATAAACAGAAAACTTTAACTGTGTGTCTTATTGGAAGTTTAAGAAAACAAACCCATACCTCTCACCATGCCCCCAAATAAAATAGTTCCAGTTTACCAAATTCTGTTTTTCATTTCAGTTAAATCAGTAAATCCAGTCTGAGGACAATCCTATTATGCTACTTTCAACACATATGTTCAATACATGCTACTGTTATGTTCTTTATCAGCAAAACAAAGATATAATTTTTCATTTATTGTTAGAAAATTTTTTAAAGTGTTTGCTTTAAGAAAATAAAAAGTGTAAAAAAAATCTTGCAAAGTAACACACAGCCTAACAAAATAATGTCTTAGAGATCTAGTTTAGCATTGCTGATAGTCTACAGTTACAAAGTTTACAAGCTGATAGTTTACAAAGATACCACAAATAATTAAAAACAAATTATTATTTATAAAGATATCACATGTTATAAAAATAACACACTACTCAGATGTATGGAACAGACTTGTGGACTCTGGGAGAAGGCGAGGGTGGGATGTTTCAGGAGAACAGCATTGAAACATGTATATTATCTAGGGTGATACAGATCACCAGCCTTGGTTGGGTGCATGAGACAAGTGCTCGGGCCTGGTGCACTGGGAAGACCCAGAGGGATCGGGTGGAGAGGGAGGTGGGAGGGGGGACTGGGATGGGGAGTACATGTAAATCCATGGCTAATTCATATCAATGTATAACAAAAACTACTGTAATGATGTAAAGTAATTAGCCTCCAACTAATAAAAATTAAAAAAAAAAAAAAACACACTACATTATATAAATATTTATTTGTATAGGGCTTTAAAGCTTATTGAATAGCTTCAATCCATTATCTCACTGATCTTCACAATGACCATAAGGCTAATTAAGGAAGATTTCATTATAGTCATAACACAAACACTGTCTCTGAGGACACAGGCTTGTAAATGAGGAGTCAAGAATAAAATTCAAGCCATCTGAAATTCTTGTCAAATATTTTTTCCACATTACCATATTTTTTCTACTTTACTGAAACTCAAAACGTTTACTTGTGATTCTAATCCCTTTCCACAAAGAAACTGCCACATAGATGGGTATGTTGGTAACTACCTATCTCGGAGGCAACTTCTTCCTCTAAACAGAGTAAGGCCCCTTTCAAACTTTAAATTTCTATGACATTTTCCAGAAGAGAAATGATAAGTGTCTATCAATTAGGTAGTTAAAACTGTATCTATTTTTACTGAAGTATAATTGACTTACATTATTAGTTTCAGCTATATAAAACATAGGGATTTGATATTTTTACACATTACAATGACCATCACAATAAGGCCAGTAACCATCTGTCACCACACAGAGTTATTAACAATATTACTGACCACATTCCCTATGCTGTACACTATAAAATTCTACCCACTTAACAACCTGAGCTTGAAATACTAATTCGCTTGAAATGTTAAGTTTCCTTTCTCTGGAAAAGCAATGTATGGCAGTGATTTAGAAGCACAAACTACAGAACAAAACTGCCTAAGTTTAAACCCAGTGAACTGTTTACCTTTTCTGTGCCCAATCTCCTTACCTATAAAACAGAGATAGAAGTACCTACTTCACAGAGTGGTGATGAGAAATTAATACATGTAAAGCACCTAAAACAGTGCTGACACACACTAATAGTGCTATTATAATGACGCACATTCTGTCTACTAGCTACTGAATCCACACGAAGCTTAAATTCAAGAGAATCTTCTAATTAAAAAAAAAAAAAAAAAATCTTAGGAATATACCTCGGACAAAACACTTCTTGGTGGCATCAGCAATATCCTGATTTCAGAAACAATGAATGAGAACGCCTAAAATATGTTTCCCAGATGTAGCAAAAACATGCTGCTGGGCTGGTGATCTGTTTCACCCTAGATAATATACATGTTTCGATGCATGACACAAGTGCTCGGGCCTGGTGCACTGCGAAGACCCAGAGGGATTGGGTGGAGAGGGAGGTGGAAGGGGGGATCAGGTACATGTAAATCCATGGCTGATTCATGTCAATGTATGGCAAAAACCACTACAATATTGTAAAGTAATTAGCTTCCAACTAATAAAAATAAATGGGGAAAAAAAACATGTTGCTGGTTTTCAAATGCTTAAAAATTTTTACTAATGGTAGCAGGCGTCAGTCACATCCTGAATTGATCTTCATTTCTTCAGATATATCCTAAGTACCTGCTATGAGCAAAACACTGTGCTAGAATTTTTTAAATCAGAAATATATTAGGAACAATGATTTTTAAAATAATCATTTGGAAAACCAATGTGAAAAGGAACAGAGCACAGAAATACTTTAATGTCCTCCAATCTACAGTATTTCATTTTATAAACTTTGCTTATTCTTAAGAATCTTACTAAGAATCACTTATATTTACAGTACTATGCAAAATGAACTTGATAATCCGAATTCTTTCTGAAGGCAACATTCAGTTTGCAATGAAATATTTTCAAACAATTTAATTTCATTCCACATTCTGCACCTGAGTAATTTAGGTAGGAATTCACAGATTATGAGTGCCCCCTAGTGTTAAGAAAAATTCATCAAATCATTAAAAGAAATGTATCCTTAGTCTAACTTACATATCAAATAAATAAATTTTATGGTTAATATTCAGAGAAGGAAATGGCAACCCACTCCAGTACACTTGCCTAGAAAATCCTGTGGACAAAGGAGCCTGGTAGGATGCCGTATATGGGGTCACACAGACACGACTGAAGCAACTTAGCAGCAGCAGCAGTATGGTTAACATTTACTAAAAAGCAGGTAATATACCAGGAGTAAACACTAATACATTTGTGAACAATTAACAGTAAATAATCACTCTCTCTGCCTGCATTTAATTAAAAAAATCATTAAAATATCTTAATGAAAATTGTCATACTAAAATCCATTACGTGAAGTGAAAGGCAGCAAAGCATACTTTAATGAAAGTTTTATTCTAATAATTACTTATAAATGTACTACATGTCAATAGTATTTAATAGCGTTCAAGTACAACAAAGCCTCATACGATACCATAAAAACACTGCAAGTCCTAAGAAACAGGCATGGGTTAATTTTTACAACATGTGCCTCAATTCATTTCCGTGCTTTGTGCACAAAAATGTTCAAATTGGACAAAACAAATACATGCTTTAATATTATTTACTTTTCCTAGTACTATGTATAAACAGCACAATCATTCACAGTAAACACCAACATCACAGAAGCACTTTTCTTAGTTAAATTATTTCCTACTATTCTCTTCTGAAACTTCTAAAAACAGGTAATCTGTCCTTTAGAAGGGTTTAAATCCCCAGACAGGCATAGTGCTTCAATATAATCCCCAAACATCAATGTTGCTTCTTTCCAAGCAATATAATCCTCAAATACAAAACCTGAAATGTGCAGATTTAGCTCCTTCCTTGAGGTCACCAGAAAGAAAGAAAAAAAAGAAAGTGAAAGTCGCTCAGTTGTGTCGGACTCTTTGCGACCCCATGAACTATATAGTCCCTGGAATTCTCCAGGCCACAATACTGGAGTGGGTAGCTGTTTCCTTCTCCAGCAGATCTTCCCAACCAGAGGTCAAACCCAGGTCTCCCACATTGCAGGTGGTTTCTTTACTAGCTGACCACTAGGGAAGCCCAAACCAGATTATTAAATAAGAGGCAAAATCAGTCTCCTAACCCCTCACCTTCTACAGTATCTCCACCAAGAAGCCCAATACTTTTCATTTTATTTTTTCAGGAGAGAAAATTGTTTTATTCAAAACAAAAATACCAAGAGGGTTACGTTAAAGTGACAATTTCTCACTAATTAATCTCCTATCATAATACCAGTTACGTATTCTTTTCTAAAATAATTTATGCTATCATTAGGAATATTAAACTAAAAATTTAAAAACACTTAGTAATTTTACAAAATATACTTTAGAAGAGTTAAGCAAATATAAGGAAAATAGTGAAATGCAATTAATTAGTGTAATTTCTTTGGAAACATTCAGATAATACAGAATTGATATGCTTATATATGCTGGCTTAAACTCTCAGTAACAAAAATTAATCTCACTAAAACTCTGGAGAAGAAGAAAAAACTTCATAGATTAAAAGCTCTTCAATCAAGCACTATTTACAACAGTGAAAACCAAAAGTGACCTTAATGCCTTTGTACATAGCCACATTAAAAAATTCAAATAGACAATTATAAGCAAAAAATATGAAAACAGAAATGACAATTTCAACCACAGAACCTAAATCTTATTATGATCATATAAATTTCATAAGAAAAAAAAGCAATATGGTGAAATTAAAACACAATAGAAACTCAATATTTATAAGCTGTCATAGCTCTTGCTTTCCTTTAAAATTTATTTTTAAATAAATATTAAAGACACATTTTATATGACAATGAGGAGGGCATGGCAACCCACTCCAGTACTCTTGCCTGGAAAATCCCATGGACAGAGGAGCCTGGCGGGCTACAGTTCATGGGGTCACAATGAGTTGGACACAACTGAGCGACAAACACTTTATTTTTATATAGAAAGCAAAAAGGTTTAAATGGCCTGTATATCACAGCACTTTCAGCATGTATGACAGCTAAACTTTCACTGCCTTCTTTATTTTTTTATTTAAGAAAATTAGAGATTAGTCCCAAATCCCCCAGTACTTTGTTTCAATAATTACAACCATCAAAAAACACTGATGAGTATCAAAAAAAGATAATTTTATCTTTGACATGACTGATATTGAGCTATTTTGAGAGAAGCTTAGTAAAGAATGTGGTTGCCTCTTAAAATCACTTCTACTAGAGCACAAAATAAGATCATCTTTGCGTATTTGCTTATAACAAGTTCAAGTTATTACAAAAGAAATAAAAAGAAACAGGTTATGATATACATCCATCCAGGGTTATATGAGCTCCCCAACGCCTCCCACAAAGAGGTCATTAGTCTCCTTCCTTTATGCTTCCACTG